TAGCAGACCTCTTTGCTATTTCCTGGTCTCCTTCCCATACTGGCCTCTCCCAATTTAAGATTACTATATTTGCTCCTCAACAGGGAGCACATCAGCCACATTCAAATTTTAGGTTTTCTTTCCTTTCTCCCATACATGTTACCCCTTAATGTGTGACATGTCCAATAATATTACTGCATTTATTTTGGGTCTATCTGCATATGAGGGAGAACATGCGATTTTTGGCCTTCTGAGCCTGACTTCGCGTAAGATGATGTTCTCTAGTTTCGTCCATTTACTTGCTAATGACAAAATTTCATTCTTTGTTGCTGAGTAAAATTACATTGTGTATAAATACCACATTTTCTTGATCTGTTTGTTGGTTGTGGGGCATACTGGCTATTTCCATAGCTTGGCTATTGTAAATAGTGCTGCAGTAAACATGGGTGTGCAGGTGCTTTTGTAATAACTTGAGTCGCATTCCTTCAGGTATATCCCTAGGAATGGTATTGCTGGATCATATGGCAGATCTCATATAGCCACTTTTAAAGTTGGCATTATTACAAGCATTTTATAGATGAAGATTATGGGACACAGAAAGATTATGTGCTCAGCCTCAAATAAATAGTTTCTCCTGTGACAACTTATGACATATAACTCTTCATGTACTAACTATTCCTGTATTGCTATTCACATATTCATGAATCCTCTCAAGTAGATTTTAAGCAGCATGAAAGCAGTCACTTGTCTTATATATCTTATATCTCTAACACTGTTATTATGATTTATATGATGCATAAGCACATTTTAAAGTAAGTCCAATTTTAAATGATTAATTTTTTTAAAAACAGTTAATTTAAAAGTTGGCTAAGCAGGTTAGGGATATAGATCATTGGTAGAGCACTTGCTTATCATGCTTAAGGCCCTGGGTTCAATTCTCAGCACCACACATAAACATGAAAGTATAAATACCCTGAATTTTTTCTAGTTTTAATTGTATTATGTCTCACCCATAAATAGTTGGCTTGGAGCTATAATGCAGAAAGCCTCTCTCATGTAGTTTTCATTATTTATTTCAAAGGCAAGATACTGTATATGCCTAATTAAAAACCTGACATAATTTATAAAAATAAACACAAAGCGGCATTAATTCTCCAACTAATATAATTTATTGTGATAATTCTGTACTAAGTGTTTTGTAACTAGTTAAAATGTGAATAGTAGTGACCCAACCACTTCATACTTCCTGGTACAGATTTTAAAAGTTGAGGTTCAAAGAGTTGAGATAACATCTCCAAATTTACAAAGTTGGTTGAGTTAAAGGCCTGGGTTAGAACACAGATCTTCTGACTCCTAATCAGCTTACTCTTCGCTCAGTATTATTTGTTTACTACTAACTTTTTATAATATACCAATAACTGGCTAGTGTTTTTAATTACCCTTCTTATTCATGTTCAACTGGTTGACTTCTGTGTTACTCGTTTGATAAAAGGCCTCTAGTAAGAAAGAATGGTACCATATATTGATTTATATATGCACAACACAATAATTTATTCCTCTCTAAGATCACCTGTTCTTAAATTCAGAATAGAATTCCATATGGAGTAGAATCACAGTCTTCATGAGGTCATGACAAATTGCTTTTTCCTTCTACTGAGTGGACAATCCAGAGATCCTTGGTTAATCCTAACAACCTGTTTATTATAAAGACAGTAATTTTTGCCAGTATTTTATGTGTCCTCTTTGTGGCTATGTAAATTGAATTTTTAGACATAAAATGAGCAATTTATTCATTTTACCCACTATTTTTACATTTTTCTTAATCCTTAACTTCCTTACTAATCTTCTAAAGTCTTTAAAAATCAATACCTACTTATTAAAATGATATAGTCTAGCCAAGTATTTTCATGTATTAACTTTTGAAGTAATTTTTATTGGTCTATTTCTTACCCGTACTTAGCTCTTGCTTCTTAATTCATAGTTGACCTTCTTAAGGTGAAGGTTGAAATCCTCTGTTAGGTTTTTTTCATTTTAATTTTATAAGCCTAGTTAATAATTATTATCTTCTTTATTCAAGTCAAGAAATTTTGCTTATCCAAGTTTATTAGTGCATGGAATATATTTTTATTCCCTTACAATGATAGTAACTTTTAAATTTTGTTTCAAGTAAACTAAACTATATCTCTCAACTAACAGGTTGTTAAACTCAAGCAAATAGAACATACTTTGAATGAGAAAAGAATATTACAGGCAGTGAATTTTCCTTTCCTTGTTCGACTGGAGTATTCTTTTAAGGTGAGTTTTAGTATTATCTAAGTAACATATTTTCAATGAGATACATTTTTTGAAAGATGAAGCTATAATAGAATTCTAAATGAGATGATAAAAACAGAATATGAATGATCAATAAAAACTATCTTTAGATTTCATGTAATTTTATCCTATTAAGCTTGTAAATTTAAGTAATATTGGAAAAAGTTTTTGTCCTCCCTAGAGCAGTTTTTCAAGGTGACGTATAATTTTTCATGGGAAGGTAATACAAAAATAAAATATATTAGTGATCCAGAAGCCTAGTAATACCTTATTAAGCAATTCTTATACTTATGCAGATGATATACTAAACACACCTTCTACTCTTAAACCCTCTCTATCATGCTCTCACTATTTTATTTACTTAGTAATTTGTATTCTGTTCTCCACTTATGCAGAAGAATCTCTGCTCCATTGTTAAGTGTCTGCCACAGTCAGAAAGGTTTATTTAAATTTGAAGCTTTCAGCTCTTTGGAATGACACTTGGCACCTATGCACTATTGAATCATATGAAATATTTTAACTCTTTTATCCCTTTAGTCTTTAAATCAAATAAAGACCTATATATTTAAAATATTAAAACCATTAATCTCTCAGGCATAAAATATAATATTCTTATTAGCTTTTTAAAGCTGTTTTTTAACTTTGTTATTCTTTTGCACATACTATAGTGTTATGCCATTGCCTCAGTGTTTACTTGTTTAGAAAAAAATTTACCTAAAAGAACAGAAATAGCAAAAGTTCCAAACTAATTTGTTCAAGAATGTCCGGAAGGGGAGGGAGGAGGTTCCCGTGTTTGGAAAACTAGAACACTTTTTCATTTATTTTCTTGCCTCCAAATTTTATTAATGTATCAGATAGATTTTGATTTTGCCTTTTTCTAACTGAACATGGTGTAATCTTAAAAATTTTCACCTCAGTTTCATAATTTTGACTTACTTTCTTTCATTTGTTCACAGGATAATTCTAATTTATATATGGTTATGGAATATGTCCCTGGGGGTGAAATGTTTTCACATCTAAGAAGAATTGGAAGATTCAGGTAACTAATGCTTCTCCCTTCCTTAACTGTTTATATATTTGTGTTTATTTTAAACAAAAAATTTAAGCTAATACCAATGCCAAAAATTCATTTAATTAACTAGGCTTTTAGCTATGTGAAGCATTAGGTGGAGACATTAATGAGGCTATATCATACTTTAAAATTCAAATGAAGCACTGTGAGACCAATTTAAAATTCTACCATTGATAGATATTGTGAGATTATTTGAAGAGTTCCCAGGACAGGCAAAATTAATTTAAATACCAATACATATTGAACAAATAATATTAGGGATACATTGTAATATATAGTATGTTGTATTTGATATATAGTATATAAAATAAAATAATATAATTTGATAATAATATTGGAACAGAGGTTTGCATAGGGTGGACATGAAAAAGGTACACATATAAATAATAGTAGGTATCATGATGATGAGATTATGAAACTGCTTTTCACAAATTAAAGTTTTTGCTATGTTGAGTTTCTAAAATATATTAAGAGGCGTTTTTACCTTCTTAGGTTATCACTAATAAGATCTCAGTTATAAAATAGGTTACAGACTCTAATAGTTATCTGTGTGTGGTGGCTCGTAAACTGCCATTGTTTATTAATAATCCTTACTAGAATGAAGTTAAATCCAAATGCAGGTCCAGCTTCAGTCTGTAATAGACATTAAGTTAAACACAGGCAAGAGCTCAAGCAGGGCTGCTGATGATAATTAGATTCATTTTTAAAAAGATGGTAGATTTGGGTAATCACAAAATAGTATCAAATAATAGGCAATGTTATTTGACAATATTAGTTATTTGAGTTACCTGAGGCCTATACCAGAATTCATTTATTAGCATACAATGTCAATAATATGCATCAGGAAATATGCTAATGCAAGTAATTAATAATCATTAATAATAATAATAATTCATTGATTTTCTTTTTCTACCTCTCTCCTACTACTTCTTGTCCAGTGTTGCCCTATGATTTTTCAATGTTTACACTGAAATACCACATCTAAATCTGTCCTTAAAAAGTATCCTACCATTTTCTTTGCTTTGCAGTTCCCCATTTTTCTTTAAAGTGCATAATAATATAGTGTATAATGTATAATAACATTTAGTAATATTTGAACCAGAGATTTGCATAAGGATGAAGATGAAAATGGAATATATAAAGAAATAATGGTGGTATCATATTGACTTAGTACTGTGGGGAAAGTAAATTGAAATAATTCACTTTGAGACACCATCTTTTCTTATTTTTCACGCATATTATATTTTTACTCTGAATGTTGTTTATTTCCACTGTAGAAACTTTGAGAGAGTAAGAATTTGAGTAGTTGTTTAGCCTGGCTTTAATCAGAATCAATGGTGTTGTTAAGATTCTCAACTTAAATAGAATATGTCTAAACTTAAACCTACCACAACTTTAAATCTTCCTATCTTTCTGCATTCCTTTAAATAGTAAGTAGAAATAGCTAATAATAAATTGCATTTAGAATATTTTGCTCTCACCTTTCAACAATTTGGTTATAGATCTATGTAATGTCTGTATTTCTTCAATTAAACATCAGTGTGTGGAAATGATGCTGAGTGTATCTTCTATTACAGATACATAGAGAAAATAGAAAGAAGCTTCTCAGGTCAAATGTTTCCAAGTTTAAGGTGACATGTTGCAATAACTGGGAATGTGTCTCTCAGTCTCTACTTAGAATGTTTCCCTCATTCTTTGTCATTTGACATAGGATATAGATTGTTATAGTGTTGGGATGGGGCTGAAACTAGAAGGATATTATAATATGTTGACCCCCAAAAGTATACATTTTTCATACTCATTCATTCAATAAATATTTACTGAGAACCTGATGTGAATTAGGCTGGGACTGGGAAACACAGTAACAATCAAAGGGAATAGCACATATGTAATCTTTTTTTGAAATTTCTATTTCTATTGAAATAGGTCTACAGATTAAATTCATGCCATCCATCTTGAGAGAAATCCTGTTAATAGTTAAGGTTGTTCATTAAAGACACGAATCCGACAGTTGTTACAATTTGTCAGGCAGATTAATAGAATTCAATGAATGTACTAGAAAATACATGATAAATTCAAATTAGAAAATTGGTACATCCTTTCTGATTTCAGCATGGAAAATATACTGATCTATCAAAATAACAATGATATACAGATGTAATCTATGATACAAGAACTGCGTATGTTTACACAAATACACAGATTACACATGTCTGTTATCTATAAACATGCATAATAGAAATTTAGAAATTCACATGACAAGATTGCATATATGGTTTCTAGATAGGATTATAGGTGTTCTTTATTCTTCCTCAATATTTTATGATAGTTTTATGATACTGTAAGTATATATAATTCTTGTAATAGAATCTATTAAATTGGTAAAATGGTATTAATCTTCAGATTAATTCAATTAAAGAACTCCTATGTAGTGGAATTCTTCAGGCACTTGAAATTAGTGAGGAAAGGAGATGGAATCTGTTAACCATAACAAGGGCTCTGGTAGACAATCCAGTTGGCACTTTTGATTTTCAATCATTCTCAAGGTCAGGGTAATTACATACATATAACTATCTTTTAATATGAGCAATAATAATTTACAACAAGATGACTGTTTTAAAGATATGTTTATCATCAATGTAAGTAAATATAAGATGCTGAGTAAATCTTATAAGTGAAGATTCACTTAACATCTTATATGTACAGGTACATAGAGAGAATATGTCCCCAAAATGTATCAAAGCATTATTTGAAGGCAGCTTAGAAATTTACTAAATATTTGGAAACTAACAAAATTCTTCACATACATTAAAAAGAAAAACAATGCTTTTTCCAAATACCTCTACCCCATGTTAATTTTTGTGTATAATCTGCTAACAAGTATTTGTTACCAATTTTTCAGAAAATCAATGTTTTGTTTCTTTCTAGTGAACCCCATGCACGGTTCTATGCAGCTCAGATAGTGCTAACATTTGAGTACCTCCATTCATTAGACCTCATCTACAGAGATCTAAAACCTGAAAATCTCTTAATTGACCACCAAGGTTATATCCAGGTATGATTTGATCGCATTATATTATATTGTATTTGGGACAATGCTAAGCAATAAATTTACATATTTAACAGCACTTATCAATACTGTATTTCCCCCCATGAAGGGAACAATTCATTCTTCCTAATATCTTAAATTGAGTTAACGGTCTGCTATTATTACAGTGAAGAAAAATCACATCTAGGGTGGAACGGGTTATATCTCTAATAATCTGTATCTGTGAGCTGAGCATAGGCTCCTGAATAAGGAAGTAATAACTAAATTTATGTGTATTTATTAGTACCAAGCCTATTCTAAGTGTTTTACATGTATAGGTTGAGCATCCCTCTAATCTGAAAAATCCAAAACTCAAAATGTTCCAATCCAAAACTTTTGAGTACTGACTGACACTACAAATAGAAAATGTCACTCACGTGATAAGTGCAGTCAAAATACAGGGGCACTAAAAATATGGTATAAAATTACCTTCAGGATGTGATTATAAAGTGTATATGAAACATAAATGATTTTTTTGTTTAGACTTGTATATCATAACTTTATATATATGAAAATATTCCAAACTCTGGAGAAATCCAAAATATGAAATACTTCCAGTCCCAAGCATTTGGATAAGGAATAGTCACCATAGTATCTCTTTCAATCATGATAACCCTATGAAGTGTAAATACTGTTATTATCCTCATTTTAAGGCTAACAAAACTAAGGCATAGCAAGGTCACACAGCCAGTAAATGGTAGAATCAGAATTTGAACCCAGGCAGTCTGGCCCCTGAGTCCGTGTTCTTTACCACTGCAGTGCAGCCACCATAGGTGCCCTGACTGCATGTATGTCTACCATCAGTAGAGTGGGAGCTTCCCTCTTTACACATTTGTCAGTAGATTCTTCTTATACTGCTTCCACATTGATGGTGCAATTAATGTCAGAGGACACACTGGACTTAAAACTATTATTTTTACCTTTTATTTTCACTTTTTTATTCCCTGGGTCTAGGATCTTATGATAATGACTAAAAAGCAATTTTTGTTCTTCTTCTTGTTCACTTGTTTCTTTGTTTTGAGAAGAAAAAGGGGTTTCCAATGTAGGTTGTTCTAACCTTTATCCACTAAAAAGTTGCCTTCATGAATTAGTCCCTATTACCTTGACTTAATTTTTTCCAACTTTTGCATGGTTTTAATGTTATTTTTTAAATTTTTTTCCATTATATGATCTGGATTTTTTGTTTATTTTATCGTTTTTACATTTACTTACTTGTGTATACATTGTTTGTGCCACCCCCCTTCCAGGCAGAACCTGTTTCTGCCCTCTTGTTTTCTGATTTTGTTGAAGAGAAAACATAGGAGATAATAAGAGAGACGTAGCGTTTTTGCTAGTTTGAGGTAAAGATAGCTATACAGAGAGATTCCTAGCAATGCTTCCATGCACTTGTGTATTGCAACCCACACTGGTTCATCTCTGCCAGACCTCTTCCTTACTTCCTGGTCCCATTTCCATAGTGGCCTCTGCCAGTTTAAGATTACTATATTCGCTCCTCGACAGTGAGCACATCAACCACATTCAAGTTTTAGGTTTCCTTCCCTTTCCCAATTCCTCCTGTGTGCATACTCCCCTGAGTGCGTGACGCATGGTTTTAGTTTTAATATTGAATTTTTAACTTTCAGTTTAGGCACAACAATTACATTTATTGTTGAGTGATAAATGTTTACAAGTATTTTTTTTCTCTTATAGGTCACAGACTTTGGGTTTGCCAAAAGAGTTAAAGGCAGAACTTGGACATTATGTGGCACTCCAGAGTATTTGGCTCCAGAAATAATCCTGAGCAAGGTATACTTATAATGTCAGTATGCAAATGTAGCAATATGAGGCACTCATACTATGGACCTCATACAATTTATTGACCTGAGTTTATACTTTTCATTTGAAGTAACTTACAAATTTTAACCTATTTTTACATGATTACTAAATAATAATTATCTAGAGTCTACCACTAATTCACTAACTTGTATCAATTTTAGCTCAGGTTCTGAAAGAAATAAGCAAGTAAATCTAACCTTTAGATCTGGGTTTTGAAGCCAAAACATAATCTTCATAATTATTCCTAGTAAGAAGAGAATGAGAAAGACTTACTTGTCTTTGGTTTCTCTGTGAGGCAAATCCAGAGATTATATGTACCAGTTGTCAATTCTTTTGTCTCAAATTTACCACCTAAATGAAAGGAATATATGAAAATTATTTTTAAGTTTCAGCTTAATAGTAATATAGCAACTAAATAGTTTTAGTTTCATTGAAAGCATTCTTCCTTTTCCAAATGGCCAAATGTAATGGGAGAAACTAACCATATTTAAAAGAATATTTTAACTTCTCTTTTCCTTTCCTTGCCATTCCTGAAAGTAGAAAGCTAGAAAGGGGAAACTAACAAAAACTGAGCACAAATTAGGAGCAAGAAAAGGGAAAGAAATAAGACACATGCCTTGATGGGCTACAAATTTATTGAAATTTGACTAACCTATGTAAGTGTTATAATAAAATAAAAATATTTCTTGTAACTTTCTCTTTACTATCTTTCATAATTTAAATGATATATGATTTTTTGTCTATAATCTAAGTATCATTGCTATAAACATTTCTTCTTCTTTAAATGTACTTAGCAGATAATGTGGTGACAAAATAAGCACATTTGTACTGGTGCGTCCATATTATAAGAGTAGCAGATAGGACACACAGAAAAATAGAAAGAAACAACCAAAAAATTCTGTAATCCCACCAACCAGAGGCAGGCTTTCTTTAAGAAAAAACATTTGTTCTATTTTTCTGTGTGTGTACTCTAGTTTAAGTTCATAGTGAAGTATGTATACTTTTTTTGTTTCTGGGTTTTTGTACTTGGATGATAACAAGCACACAAACACGATTCTGTTTTACTTTTTCTTTTTTTTGTTTTTTATGGTGCTACTGTTTATGTGCAAATATAAAGTAGCCATTCTTCTATTGTTGACTATTTAGATTTTTATTTCTTTTTTTTTAAACTTGTCTTCAGCAGTTTTTGTTCTTTTTTGTTCAGGGGAAGTTGGGAGGAGTAGTTGAGGTTTTTTTGCTATTAGAAATATTGTGATAATCATCTTTGTACAGAAAGCTTTTTCTGTTTCTTACATTACCTTTCCTTGGAATGGATTCCCAGAAGTGGGAATATTGAATCAAGGGGTATGAACATTTTTAAAGTTCTTGATACATATTACCAAATTACTTTCCAGAAAGACTGTATGTTTTACACTCCTACCAGTAGTGTATGATAGTACCTGCTTTATCACACCTTTCCAGAAATGGATATTCTCATTTTTAAAATATTTACTGATATAATAGTCAATAAATGATATCTCGTTGTTTAAATTTCCATGTTTTTATTTTTTTAGATTTTTTTCAAATGCTTAGTAGCCATTTAGTAGTTCTTTGTATGTGTACATGTCCTTTGCCTATTTTTAATTGTTTAGTGTTATTATTGATTTTTAAAATTCTCTATACCCAGGGTATTAAATTGTATATGACATATTTAATATAAACATTAGCACAGAATTTAAAACTAGAAATGAATGAGTGAAGCAAAGTTGGTGCCCATTTCTGTTAGTAAAATAAAATGCTATTCTTATTATATCAGTTCCCCTTTAAAAAATGTATAGAATCAGGAAATAGGAGAAGAAAATCTCTACATATGCTATTGTGTTTTAGCTAATAATTTGAAAGCTAAATCATTTGTAAAGCTAATATTTTGACAAAAGGGTGGAATGTGGGGAGTGTTTATGGGTAATGAGAGGGCACATTTGGGTACAGAACAAAAGGTCTGGGAAAATCAGACTTATTTCTCTCCATGATCAAGTATTTGTTTTTTTTTCCCATGATCTTTTGTGCCATACAGATCATAAGTTGATGAGAAACTTATATAGACATATTAATATAAACATGTTATTGTTATTATTATTTATTCTCTTACAAATGGTTCTAGATGGGAATTTTAGTAAGGTTAATATTACAAAAAATCCCAGTTACATATAACCTTTGAATTACATACATGGTTTGTAAAGCACTTTTTGTTCATGTTATTCCCTTTGATTTGATATACACCTCACAAAACCTTAGGAATTTGTTTTTGTTCCTACATACATTTTTGAGATTAGAAGTAGGTACAGTAGATAGCAAATGTAAAGTATACCTAAATATTTATGTTAATTGTATTCCACATAAAACTTCTAGCCTTCACAAGATACCCTGAAAAGGACATGAATATCCCTAGTATTCTCACCTTCCTAACTCCAAGAATGTAGAATATTTTGAAATCACCTCCATTATTTATTATTCCAATACTACTATTTTGTCTCAAAACTTTTGGCCTTTCTAGATATATTATTGAAAACCTGATCCTAAGATTTAAAAAAAGAGAGAGAGAGATTATGGACCTAGCATGGGCCTTACGAGGTAATTTGCTCTAAGCCCCTCTCTGTCATTGAGCAGCAATAAATTATCACAGTAAAAGAGATTTCATTGTCAATAATGTTCTTAATGATTTTAGGAAGAATGTTTAATAAACCCTTCCAATGCACAATTCCAATATCTGGAAAGTCTCTCATTCACTTAATTTTAAATCTGACCTGATCCATTTGACTCTTTTTTTTTTTTTTTGAGACATGGGATTTGAACTCAGGGCCTAATCTTGAGCCACTCCACTAACCCTTTTTGTGATGGGTTTTTTTTCTAGATAGCATCTCATGAGCTATTTGCCCAGGCTGGCTTCCAACTATGATCCTCCTGATCTCTGCCTCCTGAGTAGCTAGGATTATAAGTGTGAGCCACTGGCGCTTGGCTTGCTCATTTTTTAAATTCTATGCATAGCTGTTAGCAATTGTTTAAATTTTTTTTTCAAATGCTTCCAGATCATTTTGAAATTTCTTATGATTCATTTTCCCCTGAGCAACTTAAGTAATAATTGACATTGGTGTTGGTTTCTCTCAGGGCTACAATAAGGCAGTGGACTGGTGGGCGTTAGGAGTGCTGATCTATGAAATGGCAGCTGGCTACCCCCCGTTCTTTGCAGACCAACCGATCCAGATTTATGAAAAGATAGTTTCTGGGAAGGTATGCAATACGTTTTATTACTCCTGTCTTATTCATTATTTTACATATGAACTTTAAGGCTTATAGACTGGAACCATATATTATCAGAGTATTATTCTAAATTGGGAAAATAAGACATACACAATGTTGCTTCTCTCATCAGAAAAAAGAGCAGTTGTACAAACAAAGTAGCAAAATAAGACTATTTCTATCTTCTATTTTAGAGTTTTTATTGCTTACAAAGTCATAATTCTCAGTATTTCTTTAAGTAAATAAAAATTAGTAGTTTATCTACTTGAAGTTTTAGGAGCTGTTTTTATATGCCCTTTTTCAATACAGAATTCTTGTTTGAATTATGACATGAATAATTTTGAATTTCTACAAAATTAGAAGTAACTGTAAAATTAATAAGCCTTTTTAAGATGAGAATTCACATAATCAATTTTATAGAATTGTTCATGTTGATTTTGATTATAATTGCCATTGATTTTTAGGAAATATAGAAATAACATCAATTTTTCTTGTACATGAGTAGATTTAGTATGTCATAATATTTCATATTTTATTAATTACTATATAAACCTTCTTTTTCATTTATTATCTCTAATTTTGCTTCCAAAGGTATTTTGCTTGGGGGTCAATCACTCACCTTATTGTGTACTTGAAATCTTTTTTGAAAGTACCACTGTCAGTTTCAATAGAGATGAGCCTGATTCTTCCTACCACATAACAAAGGAAGAGCATCCTTTTAAACATTCCCAGAGGAGGCATTCTACACATTACTGGTGGAGCATATGAGAAGGGATACTTGCCCTTCTTTCTATATGACCATGAAGTAGAGCATCAGTTTTCATATCACATTACCCTAAGATGTGGGATATAGACTCTTTGTATTTTATGACCTTCTTACGCAGAGATAAGCTTATCAACCTGGAAGTCTTTCTTTATATCTCAGACACAAGCTCTTTCAGTGTAAAACTGACCTCAGTATCCATGAATGTAAAATTTACAGTTACTCACAAGGTACCTTGAATGTGCCTAATTAATAATAAATCTTTTTGCCAAGATCCAAATTTAATCCATGGATGCTGTACAGCTAGGCTGTAGGGAAAAGACACTTACCAATAGAATGTGTCCATCCAACCAGTTGGAATCCACGTGGCAACATAGGAATGTTGTTCCATTTCTCACAGTGCATATGCAGTCTATAGGGTCACAAGATTTTTCCTCATATTTTGCTGTATTTTATGGGGAAAGTTTGGTCACAAACTTTCAGTTTGGTCAGTATTCACAAATTAGAGAGCTAACTAAAGACCTTATACCTCAACTATGTCACAGGTTAAAAAATAAATGCCTCTTATAGATAAATTAGATAGGTGTTGAAAGATTTCTACTGGTAAGACAATATGGAAAGATAATACAGTATTTATTGTAAGTAAGTATCAGTTGTAGTCCTTAATAACATTTGTAGATCTCTGGGCTTCAAATTTCTTGTCCTTTTAATTGTTTTTCTCTAACAAAATAAAGTCACAGTGAAAAAAAAAAGCCTTTTGATATGCACAAAATAAAACATTGAGAAAAATTAATGGACACGGCAGTGATGTAGTTTTTTAAGAATTTGAGAAGTGAATATTTAAAGGTCATATGAAGGATTATGAGAGAACTAAAATGTATTAAAATTATAAATGAGAGAAGGATATTTAATACAAATTCTAAGAATGTAAGAATTATAGTAATAGTTTCAAATACTTTAATTAAGGGTAATTACAAAGTTTCTGAAGTTTTACTATATTGCTTTTATTTATACCTGTTCATAAAAGAAATCAAATTTTCTGACAAAGATGCTGTCATAACTGAGTTTAGATTTACTTAGAAAATTGCTTTATCAATATGAATAGCCTCAGTTTGAGAACCATTCTACATTAGGCAAAAATTTTTCAGCTGCTTATGAATATATTTTCATTTCCTGTCAAATTTTAGTATTTTATATCCAGTAATCTGCACATGCTCTAAAACAACAGCAATTTAAACTGTGGTCACCTTGTTAGATGAGTAACAACATAAAACTTTGTCATACCATGAAATGAACATTTTCCCTTCATTTATTTAGAAATGTGACAGGGTGTTTGGAATACTTTTGTTTTTAACTACAGGTGCCCAGATTATCTCTTCCTGTTTTAGATACAGTTATTTCCACCCTTGTTCCCTGTATTCAGCTAAAGCAGAGCTCATGACAGTGGAACACTGCCATTGAGTGACCTCTAGTGTCTGTATCATGTGAGATAGGTCACATTCACCATTTCCCAATAAAACTACCTGTTTCAGCACCCAAATCCAAGCTAAAATGGGTCTCTGTACACATTGCAACACTCTCTGTTTAATAGTTAAAAACCAAATTGGAAACTAACTAGTTTTTAATTGTCTATAATTGTTCAAATCATTAAAATCCAATTTTGGTCTTATATTTGTAGAGCCTATATTTGTAATTTTGATGGTTTTAATGATATATCATTTAAGGATATACTTTTCATTCAGAACCACTTTTATTATAAAGCATGTTATTTTATACAATTTTTATTGATTGTATTTTCTGTTCTGAAGCCATCTTATAAAAATTATTAGTATCAATGATTTATCAAAGTTAAATTTATGAAGTGATTAATTCACAAAAATACATATATTTAAACATTACATTGTTACTTTCTTTATTACAATATTTTAACTCAAGCTGGTATTTTTAAATGCACAGAAAGATGATCAATCAGCTTGTTAGATTCTCTCCTACACATATTTTGCTTTTAAAAAAATAGAGGAGGTGGAATTTAAATGTCAAATTATTCATGTAATATTAAGGCTCAGGTTTAGAAATGCACAGTTGACAGGAAAGATTTATGATCCTGAATTAACTATGCCTCATCCAGGCAGTGCATATGCTGAGTTTCTGTATATAATCTTTAAATTTTATGCTTCGGTGCCATAGTCAATGACAAGAATCAGTTATGGTTTCTACAGCAACTCTGAGTACATTATCCATGGGAATATAAAAGTTACTATTGTGTTTAAAAAAGGATACTTGCAAATAAAGTAATCAAGTAACAGCTGTTGTGGAGGTCATAATTACAGAGTCTTTGGCTTACATAATTTAAAAAAAATTCTTAGTTTCATTATATACAATGAAAATATTGTTCCACTTTTAATGAACACCAAGAATGTACAAGGAGACACTGCACAAAGTACAGGGACATAAGTATATACTGAATGATCAAAGAATTGGTTAATGTTTCCTAAAGAGAAGTCAACACTCACATGAAGAGTAATTGGTTTGCAGCCGAATGCTGCTCCCTTCTGTGTCAGGTCTGAAAGCTCACCTCCAGGTTCACTGATTCACTGGTAGGACCCACATCACACACGGTATTCATAGCTAAGGTGTTCACAGTGGAAGAATACAGAGCAAATTCAGCAAAGCCCAGAAATAATCAGGCACACACTTTCAAGTGCCTTCCCCAGTAGGGCCATGGGAAGCTCTTAACATCTCCTCTTCCTCTTAACTTGTGAAATGGTATACATCCTCTTTCGAACACATACCAAAGTCCCAGATTCCCAGAATGAAAGCAGGTATTCAATATAAACCATATTGTTTGTCCTAATAATCGAGGACCCATACTTGTCCTTAAGGAAAAATTTCATGCAGTGTAGCAACTGGTACCATTCAAGTTCCCAGATACCTGCCATGGGCCAAACTTATAAGCTGGTCTTTCTAAGGGTGGCAGTCTCAGACTCTCCTGTTAGCGCTTTGCTGCACACATTCTACTTCCTAAATAAATAACAAAACCTTTTTCTAAGATGCTGTCGTTAATGCGTTTTTAGGAAATGTCATTTTCTGTTTGGCTATGGCTATAGTTTAAAGAGAGAAGTCATTTTCATGAGATATAAGTATAGTTCTACTATTTGCATAAAACCCAGGTCATTTTTTAACATTCTGCTGTGGTCATTTAAAATCCGTATTAATACCTGCTTTGATACAGCCCTTTACTTTTGAGTCTGATGGGCTGAAGATTGCAGTACTGGCTCCTTGTTTTTTGGTGGGAGGGGATGAAGATGGGGTGAATAATAGCCCTGCAACCACTTAGATTTGTTACATCTGTCACAGTTTCTGCAGAGGTAAGAGGATAGATTAAAGATACCACAGACATGGCACTAATATGAATAACTATTTGTAGTGTCTCAGCTCTTTCTTTTTATTTGTAGAATGCAGGCTGGTTAACGTTGCCCTGAGTCTGGTAAGACAGTATGGATCTGGGCATCATGTCTGCAGAAAGCTGTTACGCCTTGTGGAAAACTGACTGATGTATATGATCATTTTTGACAGATTCTTAGAACTTCTGTACCTAATTAAGGGAGATAATTTCTTAAAATTTATCTCAGTATGCTCATAGCCAGAAGCTAATAGATTATTGCTGTTGGTTGTATGCAAACACTTTTGAGTCATTTAAGGCTAGTAATTTTATCCTGATGCATGAGAGATAATGTTACTAAGTTCAGTAGTCTTTCCCCTGCCAATAATTGCAGAATAGCAGTGAGATTTTTCCCTTCCATCAGCCAGAGATCAACTTCATCATTTCTGTAATTAAACTCAGTGTAGACTTATTTTATGACTAAAAACAAAACAAAAAAAAATCAATGAAACCATTAAGGAATTTAATTCATGGGTTCCCTAACAACGTGAACTGATTTGCTTTTTGAATGTAACTTTCTTTTAAATTTATAGAAAACAATAGTCATTCCTAAAACTGAAATGTACAAGACTTTATAATTTGTTCTAAAAACAGAACAAATATTCTGCTCATTTTGCTCGATTCAGAGTAAGTTTCATAGTTCAACATATTACATAATGTAATTTGACACTAATTTATCAGCTATATTCACAATTCTGTCCTTATAAAATAAGGTTATGGTCATCCATCTTATCCCTTATCTATCAAATTTAAGGACTTAAGCAAAGATGAAAGTATTCATTCAATAAATTAACAGGTGTAACATACACCAAGAAGAAAGGAGATACTTCTTATATATTCCAAGTGATACTTCTAAAGCAGACTATCCTTAGGTATTTTGGAAATATTAACATAGACTATAGGCTTGTTGTCTCACAAATTTCTTCTTTGATTCAAACCTTCAGCTTCAGATGATTAAAATAGTATTTTAATGGGAAGGTTGAAAATGTATTGAATTAGTACCTAAATGATATTAGGCATAATAATGCAAGCCAGTTTCATAGATGTTACATAATTTCTTTTCATACCTGCCAGATAAAATATACTGTCATCATTTCAGAGATGAGGAAATAGACTCAGAAAGGTAAAAGGGCTTTACTTAGATCCCAGATCATGTGTGTAATTGGAGTTGAGACTGAAATCCAGGAATTCTTTCAACTAAATAGGAACAAGTTTGGCCATCATGATAGTCAGTGTATGACTACCTGGGAGGCTGAGGCAGAGGATTAGTTTAGCCCAAGAGTCCAAGGCCAGCCTAGGCAATATAGCAAGTCCCTGTCTCTTTTTTTTTTTTTAAAGAAAAAAAGGAAAGAAATGAAAAGTAAATAGCTTGATACCATTTTTGAGGTACAAAAATATTCAATTTATTTAGTTTAGCTCTTTCATCCTGTGTATAGGTAAACCAAAATTGAGAATTGCTCATTAAAAAAAAAAGTTGTTTGTAGCAAAGCAAGAAATCAAATCTAGTTTCAGGGGCTCCTTCATTATACTTTCACTTGGCTTCAGTGACTTTATAATTTGGATTATTTCTGAAAGTTACATATCTTTCCTTCTCCATCTCATTGTTTTGTTACTCTTCTCTATATTAGTGGTCTCTTCCAGCTTCAGATTTGTAAATGTCAGCTGACAGTTTCTAAATTCATTTTCCACTTCACAGCTGACTACTATGTTTGGTTTCCTACTTGAGATCTCCACTCAGTTGTCTAATGAATGTGTTAAATATAGCAGCTCTGAAACTGACAGATATTTTATTCCCCTACAAATCTGTTTCTTCTGCAACCTTCATAATCTCAGACCATAGCAACTCTATTCTTTTAGTTGCTCAAACCAAAATGTCTTGGAGTCCTCACCCACATCTAATCCACAGAGAAATCATGTGGACTCTACCTTTAGAATATGTACAGAACTCAGCCACTTTTTACTGTCTCCACTGCTTCTACTCTCATCTGAGGCCCTAAGTGGTTCTTTAAAAATGTTAAATCAGACTATTACTCCTTTTAAAACCTTGCAGTGAGGGGGTAGGCATGCATCTAGGTGGTGGAGAAGCACATGTGTAATGTGCTCAGGTCGCTTACAAAGCTACATTTTGTGGGAACTGATATACCTGTTGTTATTGATCATCTGTACTTCTCACTAGAATGAAAACACCATGAAGGCAGAAATCTTCATCTTATTGTTTACTAATATATCCCAAGCACATCACTGTCTAGCACATAGTATGTGTTCAGTCAATATTGAATTTGAATTCATATTCATTAAATATTTATTAAGGTTAGCATATATGCCAGACCAGTTCTCCATGCTGGGTACAACAAATCAGTTGTAGTTTCTACCTCCCTAAAGTAGACTTCATCTTTGGTGTTCTACCATAGAGCTACTGATTCAGTAGGTCTTCTACAGATTCTAAACATCACAGAAAATTCTGATATACATCACCTAATGAGAGCTTGTTCCACATATCTACACCTCACTAGAAAAACAGGTTTAGTCTCATTACATCAATATGTTTGGAAAGTCAGCATAATTTCTGATGGTTGGAAAAGAATCCTAAGCAGGAAGTAAAATTAAAGAAAATGGAACAAAAAAAGCACTCTGTTTTTTTGCTAATTCCAATTAAGAAGTGTAAGTTGCATTGCAGAAACACCTTATGAAGAAACACCTTTTCCCTATCAAATGATGCCGGTTTCCCATAACCCTATCTCTCAGACCTAGTAGCCTAATTGGCTTAGATTGTCTTTCTTATTTCTATATCTGGCTCTTTACCATTATTTTAATATTATTAGCTCTATCTCAGACTGCCAGAACGCTCATAAATGTACGAGGATTAAGTTATTTTCCCAACAATTCTGAGTTGATAGCCTCACTGGAGCTTGGCTTTCTTATCTGTATACGGTTTGGACTAAATTAAACTAAGGTCCCTGCAGTTATTTCTGTGCTTCTGATTTCTCTTTCTGAAGTACTCATAACAGACAATAATGATGAAAACAATACCCTTCTTGTAGAGTTTTGAAGGAAAACTTGTCATTCCTCCTGCCATAAAAATTGTTGGTTTTCTAGGTTAATGTGCTACAAATAAAGGTCTTATATTTAAAATATAATTTTGTTTAGGTTATTCTATGTTGTTTTTTTTGCTAATTACAATTATATGACTTGATACCACTCTTTAGAAAGTTCAGTCAACAAAAATTACATTTTAAATTACATTTCAGAACTTTCATAAAAATATTTTCACAATGATTCTTATTTCTCTCCAATTACACTTTAAGATATGAGAAATTAACTTGGACTAGTATGAAAGTGTGCACTGCCTATCAAAATCTCTGGAGAAGAGGATGTTATATGGCACTAAAGAGGCCAATTCTATAATTCAAAAAGTTTCCTAAATGAACCTGAAATCAGCCATCACAAGCCACCATTTCTCACTTGAGAATCACTGTGCTGAAAACTAAACAAACAGCTCCACACATACACATTCACCACATTGACTACTCAAGAACATCACTTTTATGCATTCCAGAGCACTTATTATGTAGGTGCTTATATTCTTCATGCATTGCATTGCAATTTCTATGTCGTGCATTCCTGTCTATAGTTCTGAATATCAGGAACAGTTCGTATAAATTCTACTCTAAGCAAGACAAATCTACTTCATATAAGTTGTTTCTTTGGAATCTAAACAAAGTTTAGATGTACCACAGGAAAGTTCTGAGCTAATATAATCACTAGAAAAATGTTACTTTTGTAATAGATAGATGGTCCTTTAATACTCCTTATTTTGTAGCCATCCTAGCTAGAAAAATTGAGGAAAAGTGTTGAAATAAACATATTTTGTTCGTTTTTTGAAGTTGAAGATTTCAGTCTTTTAAAAGCTTCCTGATAATGACTATTTTTGGGTTTTTGAGTCATGGGAGGACAGCATAATTAGAAGTACACGTTGCTGGAGTCTGGGTACCTGTTTAGAATTACAGGTCTACCACATATTAGCTCTGTAATCGTAGACAAATTATTTAATCACTGTAGTTCTCATTTGCTTCACTCATACATATAAAGTAGGTACAATACTCATACCTGAGCCACAGCCATCTGCATTTTTCATTTTCTTGTCTCCCAGTTTATTCTGATAATTTTATACTGTTTTGTGATAACAGAATTAAGCACATCTACTAACAAATGAAAAATAGCTTCCTATGCAATGAAAGGTTGTGTGGTTTTGACAATCATTTTTAGACTCCCTGTTTTGATAGATTTCTTTTCAAAATGTGCCTATTGATTTCTTTCACTTGCTTCTTTCTCTGTTTGTAAGTTTAATTTGTATATCTCTGAGACAGGTTTATAATGAGATCCAAGGAGATCTCTCTTGAAGATGGGTGAACCTTCTGAAATTCTTCGAAAAGTTCTGTGTATAGACGCATTTAATTTTTGGAGCTGGTCTATATCCTTAAAGATAGTTCATGACTAAAACAAGGCCCAAAGAGAGCATCCAAATAATTCTCATTCTTTAAGACCATTATGGGGAGTGTAATGTATAGTTAAAAGTATTAGAAGGTCATCACTAAGTATTTGGTTTATATAATGACCTGTCACCTGAATGAAAAACTTTTATGAAAGCAGAACAGAAACACCATGTGAGTCTTGGAATGTGTGTTTCACCACATGCTGTGTTTGTGCAGGTCCGATTCCCATCCCACTTCAGTTCTGATCTCAAGGACCTTCTAAGGAACCTGCTCCAGGTGGATTTGACAAAGCGATTTGGGAATCTAAAGAATGGTGTGAGCGATATAAAAACTCATAAGTGGTTTGCCACAACAGATTGGATTGCTATTTACCAGAGGAAGGTGAGTGTCTCCTTTCTTTTTAATTTACAGGCTTTTTAAAAATTGGGGTTGAAATTATATGTAATAGAAATATTTTTAACTTACTACATGGTTTTTTTTATTATTTTACCTTTTAAACTAATTGTATGCTGGATCTAAATTAAAGTACCTAATAGCCCACACCTTGAAAATGAGTTTTCTGTTAGATGAAAGAGAAAAACCTATATTCTTGACCATTAATCTGAAGTATTTTCCCTGTTAAATTTTTTCCTATCCATGCACTTTACTCTTCACAATACTGTGAAAATTAGATATTAGACATTATCCTAAGGGTTTGCATTTCTAAACTGGTATAAGGCCACATTAGGAAGGCAATACAGAAACAAATACACTCTCCTATCCAGAATTGGCACACAGCCAGATATAATGTTTAATTGCTTTAATTTCTGGAGGCATTTTCAGTCTTCATTTTGACCTCTCTGTGGGCATTTGTCAGGGTTCCAAATTTTTCATGTAGTGTTTCTCAGAAAAAGACCATGCCTTTGCCAGTTTTTCCTTTGTTCTAAAGGAATGATTTTTGCCATTTGTGCACCTGCCATATTCTTATTTATCCTTTAAGAGCCAAGTTAAATATTACCTCTTCTGTGATATTTTCTCTAAAATGTGTTCAGTGATATTTTATATCCTCATTATTATTGTAAAATATTTCATTGGAAATAGGGACTTTATCACTCATTTTCATATTCCCATCGTCTGACAAAAGGGCTTGATACATGGTCTCTACATGTTTGCCTGACTACTTACTGAGCATTGTTCTTTCTTTAGATACAGCTTTGCATTATCGATTTGAAAACCAGTTTGAACATTAATAAGGGAAATAGGAGTACTGGGGCTTGAACTCAGGGCTTACACCTTGAGCCATTCCACCAGCCCTTTTTTGTGATGCATTTTTTTTTTTGAGATAGGCCTTGTGAACTATTTGCTTGGGATGCCTTCAAACCTTTGATCCTCCTAATCTCTGCCTTCTGAGTAGCTAGGATTATAGGTGTGAGCCACCAGCACCCAGCTTGAAATAGTATTATTAATGGTTTTGTGAAAGATCAAAACAAATTATCTGAATTGCTGCATTTTAATCTTGTAGCAATTATTTATTCACATATTTCTCCAAGCAGTTGTTGGATGCCTGCATTTATGCCTATGTTGGTACTGAGACTGCACTGATACCATGTGAAGCTTACAGTTTCAGGGAGGGAGGAATCAATTAAGTGATTATATAAATAAACATAAAGGGAATACAGAAAGAATAACTTTGTACCTGAGGTTTTTAGATGTTGTTTGTCTGCTTGCTTGCTTGCTTGCTTGCTTGCTAAAGGAATTCTTATATGATAGAAATGCAAGCAACTTGAAGGTTCAAATGTAAATATAACCAAGTTAATCTCTAGCACCAGTATATCACCATGATAAAACAGAGGAAAACCCATAGCTGGAGAGTAGCATATTGAAAAGAGATTATTTTTCTTATTACCCAAGTCAGCATCAGAATAGCTGTTGTCATAGCAGATGTTAATTAATAATAGTTATCACTTCACCTTTGTAATAAATTGGAAAAGATTTTACTGTACTAAATTACTACCTTCCTTTTGCTTCTTAAATGCTGAGTTAAAAATAACTGTCATAAAGTGTCTTCACTTTATGATACTCAATGTTTTTTCATAAAACCAAAACTTCTAATACTTTAGAAACTTGTGATGCACCCTGTGCAGCCACAGGTGAATTTCATTAGGGAAAAAAAATTAATGCTCCATTTCATAGTAAAAGCCATTTTTCTAATTCATAATTTTTTAAAGATTATAAATACAAGGCAGTAAAAGAATTAAAAACTCTAAAAAATATGGCAAGACCAAAACAAAGTGAAGGCAGTTTAACTCTCTCTCACGGGAGGGTCTAGAAGTTTCTGATACATAGTTGTTAGCATCATTGTCTCAAACAGATCTGTCATGTGGCAAGGAAGGAGGTTCATCATGATTTAAAGTAGATTTAAGATCTCATAAAAAGTATTTCATATTTTTATATTTTTTGTTAATTTTCTATCACCATTACAACACTTTGTAATTAACAAAAGGAACTCTGTGAATTCTCATTCTGTTCTTCCAAACAGTACTGGGAAATAGGTGGTACCATTTTCCTCATTTTACTAATCAGGAAATCAGCTGTGATAGATTAATTAATTTAAACATAATCTTACAGTTGCTACATAACATCTATATTTTCTCCCACTTAACTCTCATTTCCAACCCCAGGATCACATTCCCTCTTTAAATTGTCTTTAACATTATCATTGAAATGAAGCCCCAAACCACTGAACAACTCACTGTTTCATAAGATTTTCATAGATTTTATATACCGTCTGTTTTATGTGTGTGTGTGTGTGTGTGTGTGTG